ATATATGTGGGGCGGATCAAATGCGGGGTAATTCTTAAAATGCGAATAACTCTTAGCAACCATAGACAACTAACCTAGCAACTATAGACAACTAACCTAGCAACTACAGAGAACTAACTTAGCAACTACAGAGAACTAACCTAGCAACTACATAAAACTAACCTAGCAACTACATAGAACTAACTTAGCAACTACAGAGAACTAACCTAACAACTACTAACCTAGGTTAGCAACTACAGAGAACTAACCTAGCATTTTCAGACAACTAACCTAGCAACTACAGAGAACTAACCTAGCAACTACTAACCTAGCAACTACAGAGAACTAACCTAACAACTAGAGAGAACTAACCTAGCAACTACAGAGAACTAACCTAATTGGAAGATTAGTTGTCAACGGTCAACGCCGAAGTCAACGGTCAACGCCGGAAGTCAACGGTCAACGTCAGAGTCAACGGGTTAATAATATTTAAATAATTAAAATAATAAAAATAAAAGAGTAAATCTTGGCCACACATGATGCATCAAATCTTGTGGTTAAAAATGAGTCTCACGTCCTCACTTTAAATAAGTGGATGCATTGAAACCAATATCTCTCTCTCTCTCTCTCTCTCTATATATATATATATATATGAATGGCATATTAATTTTATATTTTTTAATTTATATAGGAACTATTCATTGTGGAGTTGGCCCATGACTTAAAGCAAGATTCCTGCCTTTTTGGAAAAACACAACAATGTATGGAATTCCTTCACATCTTTGATCCTAAAGATGATGGATCTTTGTTTTCCGCGGAACTACATTATGATTTAGCTCATGAAGTTTTGGAGGATCTCCACTTTATTCAATTGCTTATCGAGAGTCTTAAGATGGTATCTCTCTCTATTTTAAATCTCACTTGTGGAATAAAACGTGCCTTTGTGGGCTTAATCTTTCTTTGCTAATCCAATTGCCTTTTTCTATTATTTTTCTATTTGTTTATATCAGGACTTCGAAGGTCGTCGGTTAGTAAAACAATATGGCAAACGAGCTAAGGTTAAGAATGAAGATGTGTTGGCTACAGTTAAAAATATCGTTAAAGATCCTGGCTTCCATCAATACAAGGACCATATTGAAAAGAATGAAGTTCGTGCTGTGAGGTGTTTCTTTATTCCCTTCCTTAATAGCGATCAATCATGGTTTCTTTCGCTCAACAAGATTTATTGCTAAAACAATGTTCATCATTATATCAGAGTTTTTTTGAGTATTTTAATCGTTCACTGGGTGTACGATGATGTGCTTAAGAAGGTTAATACGGAACTTTGTGAATATGATCAAGCGATATGGGAAGCGACACAGATTGCAAGTGCTGATGCTTGGAAAGCTACGGGTTATGATGATGTAGAGGCTGAAATCTGTTATGTTACTAGATTTGCTGGAGATTTGAAGGTGCGCAAGCTTAATAGTTATATTTTCTTGTTAGCTTTCTTTTCTCTTTTATATTATCTCTAATGTGTTTCGATCATATTTTTTCCTTTTTTGATGTATTACCAGGGTTTGACGGAAGCGTTGGGTAAAGTATACGGTACTAGACCTTATAAGCACATTTTTGATAAGGTAAATAATACTTACCACCACTTATATGTAGGAATTCATTTTGGCTTTGTTTGGTAACCAACGGTTAGATAATAGCTGTTAGCTGATTGCATTAGCTATTTTGATTAATTTTATTAACTGTTTTGACCAGGTCATTGTGTTAGCAGTTTATAAAAAAATGTTTGGTAAAGTTAGTTGTTTTTAATTAGCTCTTAACATGTGAAATTACTAATAAGGACATCATCATAATTTATCATTCCTATTTATGTGGAGCTTATAATTGTTTCAGAAATAAAAATAATTAATATTTTAATTATTTATTAAATTGATTTAAAATATATAAAAATATAAATAATAATGCAATGAAAATATTTTTTAGTTGATTATAAATAAAACTAATAACAAGTCATCACTATTTAACGAATCTAAATATAACTCAATTGCAATATATATCATTACAATTGAGAAAAAAAAAATCAAAGTAACTAAAATTTGTAGTAACAATTTCCAAAAGTTCTCATGGTCATTTAAGTAACTAAATACAACATTTATTTAGTTCAGTGGAGTTTCCTATTCAAGGAACGTGTGTAGTTCAGCCGTAATGTGATAGCGTGAAGCTCTTTCTTTGTACCAAAAAAAAAATACAACATTTATTTAGAATTATCTTTCTACTTTTACTTTATTAGATTTCTCTAATTGTTTGGGTGGTCCTAATTTTTTTTAACTTGATTTTTCAAATTGTTTGGATGTTTATGCAAGTTTAAAACTTTTTTGACTAGATTTCTCAGATTGTTGAGTGGTTCTACAAATTTTGGGATATTGTTTTAGGAGATTATGTGATGAACTAGGTTTTATGATTGTGTATCTAAGTGGTTGCCTACATATATTTAAAATTTTAGAAAAATAGTTGGTAAAATTAGTTGTTAAGTTATGCTAAATATTAGTTGAAATGAAAATTATATAATTAAATATATCTCTTATATTATATCAATATGCCAAATATTATTTATATGGGTTTGAATAAAAAAGTATCACGATTTGGATATTTTTTTTTTCATGAAATTTTGAGATGTATAGAGAGTTGTTCATTTATTTGCTATTGTAATAATGAGTTGGGGCAATTAAAACTTTTATTTATTTATTTATTTATTTATTTTGTCTTGAACCGCTAAGCCAAAACGCTTCAAAAAGCAGCGTTTTTTATTTTGGCGAATTGGGCCAAAAACGCTGGTTACAATCGCTGTTTACCAAACGCTGTTTTTAGCTGATTGTGTATGGTCAAATAGCTACTGAAAAAAGCTCTTTTAAAGCCAAAACGCCATTAAACAAACGCAGTCTTTATTTGAAGTTTATCGAGTCATATTCACATTTTACCAAGTCTCATCTCCTGACTCATCTCTCTTGGTGTTATTTTTATTTTCTCTTTCATCCTTTATGTTTTAATTTTTCTTCTATTTATTACATTATTCAATGGTGTTAGTTGAATGTTTGAAATGTTTGAAATGTAAACTCTTTCCAGTTCAAGAAACTGCAATTTTATTGGGAGATTAATGCTAGAAGAAATCAGTACGACGTCAGATTGGATATTGATGCATATAGTTGCAACGGCAGAAGACCAGGTGGTAGCTGTGGGGTCATCTAGTCCATGAACATGAGTTGCATAATGACTGATTCATCTAGTCATGAACATGTTGCACGATGACTAATTTATTGGCTCTGAGCTGTGTATCAACTTTCTGATTTACAAGTTACTATGATAGGTTGCATATTTAAAGTCGCGAATTTTAAAGTCCAGGAACATCATGAGTTGCATGATGACTAATTTTTGTTGGCTTAGTGTGTCAACTTTCCCATTTATACTATGGATTCTAATGTTTATGGGATTTAATTCTCGCATTATTGTATTGATAGGTCGAAAAATGTGCGTATTTCATATGTTTAATAGTGTATTTTTATACACTTAATTTATTCGCACTTTTATTTTTTTCGACCTATTTATTATTTTGATGGATTTATTTGCTTTGATGTTTTATGTGTAATTTTTAGTAAATTGGCGCAATTTGGATCCGGAGCATTGAACGAGCGTTCGTGGGAGATTAGGCCCACAATACCGAATTATTTATGGCCCAAATACATGCTTAGAAGAAGTTTTTGAAATAAAGTCCATTTACAAAACATGATCCATGGCCAGCCACTTTGAAGAATACATTCGGGAGTAGTTTGATTACTTGAGATAATTTAGACTTATTTTTCAAGAACAAAAAAGAAAGCAAAACTCACGGAATTTTGGGAGTCTTATATTGTTGGGGGATTATTTTCCAAAGACACGCGCACAGAGGGAGAAAAATTATTTACGGGGCACACATAGCCGAGAAGGAAAAATAGAAACGCACAGACGGAGAGCAGCGCACGCACGGGAAAATAAATACACGCGGAGGGAAGCCGCACACGAGGGAGATATTTTTATCTTCTCTCTTTTATTTATTTGTTTCTATTAGTATGTTAGGCTAGTTTTTCTATCCAGTTTAAGGGATGTTTGAACCCTAACTTTGATTTGTCTATGGATTGAAGGATTTATATTTATCGTTGGTTAATTGAGATGCCATATTTATTTTTGTTGATGAGTTGATTTATGCTATCTATGTTTAATGTTTATGAACTATGGTGTTTGATTTAGTCTGGCCAACTACTTTAAATATTCATTGTTTAATTGCTAGATTCGAGACTTTAATCCGTAATTGTTATTGTCTCGTTTCGTTAGTAGTAAACTAGGGGTCGTGCATCCTTAGGGTAGCGTGAACATAAGTTAAATGGTCCGAGCTTGCGCGTCCATTGCTTAGACTGATCTATTTTCCTAGTAATTAATGTTGCTAGTGTATTAAATCTAGAGAGCTTATTCTAGGTTGTCCGCTAGTTAGGCTTGGTCGAAGAGCTTATTTCGACTAAATATTATGTAAGGGAAAATTCGGTTAACAGAGCTTGTTGTTAGCTAGGGTCGGTAATTCATTAGCAATTTAAAGAAAGCGTAAAAATTGATTAACGGTAAATTTAGATTGGGTGATAACTGAACCAAAAACTGGATTTCTCTTATTTTATTTGATTTTATTTTATTTTATTATTTTTATTTTTATCAAAACAATACCCCCCCATTTTACCGTTTTCTTAGTTTTAGTTCGATTAATACGAAAATTATCACGACTTAATTCCTGCTCTTCGTGGGATCGACCCTTACTCGCCGCTACTACTAGTTAGTAGAGGTTAGTTGAGGAAAAATTATAAATTTAAATTTGCCGCGTTGCGACGCGCGGCCAAATTTTGGCGCCGTTGCCGGGGAGTGGCGCAATTGAGTTGTGATTTTTTTTAGTGTTAATTGAATTAGGTAGTTAGATAGTTTTTATTTTATTTTCTTTGACTCTCTTAATCCCCCTATTTTTATTTTTCTTTTGCAGGTGGTATTCGTATAAATGGATGCATATTGGAGCCCGGATTGTGCTTATGCATACGATTCGTATTATGAAATGAAAATGAGGGAAATAAGAGACCAACATCGTAAGGCTAAAATGTCGGCTATGATCCAAGAAGCCATTGAGAGTATTCGTCAAGCTTTAAGGAGACCATGTCGTCTATGTCATACCACACGACACGTCACCGATGATTGTCCATTTCTGTTCGAGAGGTACGGTGCACGTAGAGCTACCGAGAGAGATAGGTATAGACAAGACAATTGGGCGTATTCAAATTCTTATGGGAACCATTACAGTTGGGGCGAACGTGGAAATTCATTCTATGAAAATCCACAATATTCTCGATCGTATGAGCCTATTTATGAGCACAATGACCCTCAATTCCGCTATGGAGGCTCACAATATTTTTCAGAACCTTCGTTTGAACAAGAGACTAGTCCGTCATTGATGGAGTTATTTGAGGAGTGTCAAAATTCTTTGATGGCTAGTAGCAAAGCGATTGGTGATGTATTGAGCGAATTGGATGCCCGAGCCAAGAGTCGGCTATTATCTCAAGCCGAAGCCAGCCACGATGATGTCGGAGACCTGAGGATGTGCAGCGACACAGAGCCTGAGGTGCTGGACGAACGTAATTTTGAGACGAACGGCGAAGAGAAAGAAGAAGAAAGCAATGAGGAGCAAATTTTCGCTGATATCGCCCCCCGATAAAAACCTGGTAGCATTTACTACTGCTATCGGGGCCCTCGATAACAACCTGCTCGAAAGTGAAAACGATGTGAAAGCTCCATCAATTGCCACGAGCATGACTGAAAATCAATTTCTTCTATCCGAGTTCAAACAACCAGCAACCGAGCACGTTGAATATCAAGAGCCTTACATCCTTGAGGTGGTTGAGATTTTCCCTCTTATCCATGGTCACGGGCTAGTCTTTTACCATGACAATCTACCACCGAGAAGAAAAGATCCCGTCAAGCACCCGACACCGGACGAGGGGAGGCTTCACATGCATGGCGCTGCACGGTTCATGCCTCCTTTGAGGCCACCTATGAAGCCGCCATGGACCGCTTGAAGAAAGCGAAGCAATAAGTCGAGCCAACGACACTAAAAAAGGCGCTTGTTGGGAGGCAACCCAGTGGTGTGCGACGACCGCGACTTCTTCTCTTTGATAAGGTGAACTCTTTCCTTTTACCTCCTATTTTACATTCTTATTTATGCAAACTCTAAGTTTGGGAGACCTGTTAGTGTGAGATGTCTATGAGCTTGAGTTATTGAGTTGATGTCCTAGCACGTTCTTGACTAGTGTGAGCTTATTCGTATGTGGAATTTTGCAATGATGATTTGAGTGTCCATTAATATTAATGTGCTAGTTATGATGACTTGGATTAATGATTTCTGGTTAAATTCTTGAAGTGTAGTTATTTGAGGGACAAAGACATGACAATTAATATTTATGTGTTTTATTCATGGTGAGTTGGTCTCGAACTGTTTATATTTTTGAAATGTGCTAGTGATTATTCTGCTTGATGTCGATTGTGTGAGGTGACTTGACGTGGAAAGTTGGGAGTTGAATGTCTCGAAAAAAAAAAGAAAAAAAATGGTGTGAATAATGAAGGTGGAGGAGAAAAATAATGGGTGTTGGAGAAAAAAAAAAAGAGATCGTGGGCTGCAACAGCTGCCAGTCTGTGAGCTTTAGTGCATCACTCTAGCACGAATAGCTAAACAACATAGACTGTGGCGGAGCTGTCGTTCCCAAAAAAAAGAAAGAAAAAAAAAGAGAAAAAAAAAGAAAAAAAAAGAAAAAAAAACCGAGATGTTTGATTTCTGGCTAGAAACGAAGAGGAACTAAACCGATTGGCAGAGAAAGGGATGTCGTTAGTTGCATGATTGGTATACTCGGTGAAGAGATTGATGAACTGTGGTGATTCACCAAATTGATATTTGATTGTTGGCGTTCTAAAGATGATTTCATTTTGAGTCCGGGATTATTAACTTGAGAAGTTGTAGCTATGCATTTATGTGAGATGTGTAAGGACCTGAGCGAATATTCCATGTACTTGTATATATCCATCTATGTGCTTATAGTTCTAAGTTGCTTGGGGACAAGCAACAGTTTAAGTTTGGGGAGATTTGATAGGTCGAAAAATGTGCGTATTTCATATGTTTAATAGTGTATTTTTATACACTTAATTTATTCGCACTTTTATTTTTTTCGACCTATTTATTATTTTGATGGATTTATTTGCTTTGATGTTTTATGTGTAATTTTTAGTAAATTGGCGCAATTTGGATCCGGAGCATTGAACGAGCGTTCGTGGGAGATTAGGCCCACAATACCGAATTATTTATGGCCCAAATACATGCTTAGAAGAAGTTTTTGAAATAAAGTCCATTTACAAAACATGATCCATGGCCAGCCACTTTGAAGAATACATTCGGGAGTAGTTTGATTACTTGAGATAATTTAGACTTATTTTTCAAGAAAAAAAAAAGAAAGCAAAACTCACGGAATTTTGGGAGTCTTATATTGCTGGGGGATTATTTTCCAAAGACACGCGCACAGAGGGAGAAAAATTATTTACGGGGCACACATAGCCGAGAAGGAAAAATAGAAACGCACAGACGGAGAGCAGCGCACGCACGGGAAAAAAAATACACGCGGAGGGAAGCCGCACCCGCACACGAGGGAGATATTTTTATCTTCTCTCTTTTATTTATTTGTTTCTATTAGTATGTTAGGCTAGTTTTTCTATCCAGTTTAAGGGATGTTTGAACCCTAACTTTGATTTGTCTATGGATTGAAGGATTTATATTTATCGTTGGTTAATTGAGATGCCGTATTTATTTTTGTTGATGAGTTGATTTATGCTATCTATGTTTAATGTTTATGAACTATGGTGTTTGATTTAGTTTGGCCAACTACGTTAAATATTCATTGTTTAATTGCTAGATTCGAGGCTTTAATCCGTAATTGTTATTGTCTCGTTTCGTTAGTAGTAAACTAGGGGTCGTGCATCCTTAGGGTAGCGTGAACATAAGTTAAATGGTCCGAGCTTGCGCGTCCATTGCTTAGACTGATCTATTTTCCTAGTAATTAATGTTGCTAGTGTATTAAATCTAGAGAGCTTATTCTAGGTTGTCTGCTAGTTAGGCTTGGTCGAAGAGCTTATTTCGACTAAAT